AATAAGATATGTCTGGTGAACAAATTTCTTTTATGCTGGTTGTCTCGTCTGGTTGTTTATTCTTTGTTAATACTGATTGTGATCTTTACTTCCTTGGTACGAGTCGTGGGATGATACCATCTTGATTTTTTGCTTCTTGAAATTGTTAGTGTGGTAAATTTATCTTAAATGTCTCTCAATGTCTATGATTGTTACATTCAGTGATAACCTTTTTAAACATGTGAAATGGCATCCTTGCGATTATGAAATTTATGAATCATACGTTGTTGATGATTCTTGTGCTAGGTTACATGTAAAATTCTACCGTTGACTTTCGTTTTTTGCAGTAACAATGGTTGCAAATATCTCTCTTTTGGTACTAGTGACTATTGCTTGGTCTTTTAGTCTTACTTTTGCATAGTTAATGAATTTATAACTCACATGTGGAATTGATGATTCTTTATTTCCCTCATGTTTTGTTGTTTTAATAACACTTTTCTGTGATTGATGTCAACATCAATAAAATTCCAGTAATCTGATTGTCTCTGCTTCTGGTTAATATTCTGTGAAACCTTAATTTGTTACACTTGGATGTTTTGTTAAAATCTTGCTTTCTGTTTGATACTAGGGAAAGATTTTCTCTTTGCATTTTGATGTTAGTTTTGTTGATTAACGAGCTTTGTTAGCTTTCTACTAGACTAGATGGTGAACATATTTGTTTCATTTTTGTTAGGTTGTGATCTCGGCTTTCGTATTAGTCTGATGACTTTTGCTTCTTTGATATTACGAACAGTTAGTGTGGTGAATTGACTGAACTTTCTTGAAAATATATTTATTTATTCTTGTATTATAATCCAATTAGAATTCATCAGTGTCTGTGATTGGTATCCGTATTCACCAATACTATTTAATCCAATTAGAATTCATCAAAGTTTTGTCTGTGATTGATGTTCACATCAATAAAATTCCAGTAATCTGATTGTCTCTGCTTCAGGTCAATATTCTGCGAACCTTAATTTGTTACACTATGTTTTGGCAAAATATGACTTTATGTTTGATACTAGGGAAAGTAGCGCTTTGATATTGAATATTGATGTTCACCATCTAGATTTCTCTTTGCATTTTGATGTTAGTTTTGTTGACTAATGTATTAGCTTTGTTAGCTTTCTATTAGACTAGATGGTGAACATACTTCTCTCATTTTTGTTTGGTTGTCCGATAGAACCAATAGTGATCTCGGATTTTGTATTACGGGTCTGATGACTTTTGCTTCATGATATTACGAACAGTTAGTGTGGTGAACTGACTGAACTTAGTAGTAAAGGATTTCAAGTCCATATGGACAAAACTGTGACAAATTAAAGCAATGACTTATTAGTCTGAAACGCAAATTCTGCTTTGAGTTTTTGTTTCTTTCTAGCAATCATTTTTTTAAATCCTTTTAAACCATGATGAACCAACATAGGTTTCAAGTCTTTCAACCATGATTTATGCGTTGCATTTGAAAAAAAAAATTAAATTTTAAATGTAAATAACGTTTTGAGTTTTTCAAACTAATTCTTTTAAGATAAAAAAATATATTTTAACTCTTGGAGTGGTGTATCTCACAAATATAACAAGATACTCGTATTTTTAAGTTGTTTTTTTTCTTGAGATCCTTAAACAAGGTTCTCAACAATAATTTGTTTTCTTTTTTTATATAATATTTGAAATATTTATGTTAAATTCTGATATTTAATTATAAAATATTTAATTAATCTTTCAAAATACATATCCTTAATTATATTAGTTAGATATATATTTATTTGTATTACAAAATAATTAGTAGAAGTTCTTCAAATATACTTTTGAATGACATAATTAAACATAAAAATTATATAGAGTAAACTTAAAATAGAGAATTCAGTTTTTTCTGATATATAATGCTATTGTGTTAAAATTTTAATCTTTATTTATTAAATCTTTCATTAATCTTTCAAAATATCAAAAGCTCATATTAAAATGTACTTAATTATATTAATTAGATTTATTTATTTATATTACAAAATAATTAATTAATTTTCTTTAATTATACTTTTGAATAACATATTTAAACATAAAATTATATAGAGTAAACTTAAAAAATAAAAAAACTCAAGCTGATTTTAATGTTATTGTATGAACATTAATTTTAGTATTAATTTATTAATTATAATTAGTATCATTAATAGATAATGTAAATTTATTCACAATTTAGAAAGATTATCTTATTTTATAATTTATAAAAAGATAAAAAAAAATATAAATAACAATATAAAAACTTTTTAATTGACTTTATAAACTACTGAGTATTATACTTTATAAATTTTCTTTAATTATACTTTTGAATAACATATTTAGACATAAAAATTATATAGAGTAAACTTAAAATATAAAAAACCCAAGTTTTTCTGATTTTAATGTTATTGTATGAACTTAAATAAAATTAATTAATATTAATTTATTAATTATAATTAGTATCATTAAGATATAATTTAAATTTATTCACAATGTAGAAAGATAATTTTATTTTATAATTTATAAAAGGATAAAAATAAAAATAACAATATAAAAACTTTTTAATTGACTTTATAAACTATTGACTATTTGATTTGATACAAAATATTGAACCAATAATAAGATGATATGTTTCCTAGCTGAGTGGTTTTCATATTTCAAGATATTTCATTTGAGGATAGGTTCTCGTCAATTCTCTCAATTTTTTTAGTTTTTTTTTTTTATAGATTTTTGTGTTAGATACCCATTGAGATGCTTTTATTAAATTTTAACTTTAGTAAAACAATTGAACCAACAAGAATTTAACACATTGACATGGATCTCAAATGAGAATCCTTCTCATTTTTCTCTCATACATTTTTTTTGTGTATAATATATTTGAGTTGAAATACACGTTGATATAAGCTAGTAGTATTAGACTGAATTCCAAACATGTATAATAAGTCGGTCCTTTTTGGACTTGATCATCATATATTCATATCCCCCAACTTAGTCCAACTTCGACCAAGTTATCCGGATCATAGTTTTTTTTTTGACAATATCGTTTTCTGCTATTGGTTCTTACATGACTGGATCCTAATGTTGTGATTGACTATATAGTCTATATCGTGTATTTGACATGATCATCAAACTTTTGGCTCTCAATATAATTATTATCAAAAACTTGGTTGACAAAATCTGATATATTTTGATTTGGTAGTTGTTCTACATTTTACTGTATTTGAAAAATCTGACATCTCTTTTCCAATCTCTAGGGTTCACCTTCCTTGCTTTCGAATATGACTTTGACGAGTTGGTGGCTGTTATATCGACTAGGGAGCCACACCACACCACACCATTAAACATTTAGCTAATAAGATCTTACCACTGATAAAGTTGCATACAACCACGCTACATGATTGTGGCTTGTACCAAACGAGTGACCAGACCAGTAACCTTAGAGGTATGATCTCTTTGTTATTCAAGCTCAAATAATGCAGAAGACTTCTCTTATCAGTTTTGAACCATTCTTAATATTCTTATCTTGTTGATATATTTGAAGGGTCATCAACCAGAATTACAAATACCCGATCAGTGAAGTTTGAAAAAGCTCTACTAAAATTGTGGACTATGCATCAGCTATTAACCAAAAATGCAATGACTTTGAAGTTTTCGAAGGTTTCTTTGTTTTTTTTCTTTTTTTTTTTAAATTCCTCAATTTATATTTTTTGAATATCATCATGTTTTTTTTGTTTTCTCTATTAAATACCTAAAGCTTTGTCAAGTTTGTGAGCGTAAGAAATGGTTTTGGTGAAATGGTTTCATTATTGTATTATTGTAAGTACTAACTGTTAGTACTATCGACTTCTCAGGAAGGTGTTATTTTGATTTGTTATATATACCAATTTCTCTTTAACCAAATGATCGTAAACGAGATTTCACTATTGATCAGTTTTCTTGTTAAAAAATAGGATTGTCAGAAAGTGGAATAAATATATTCCTTAGATGGCAGTTAAAATCTAAAAACAAGTCTCTTTGATGTAAAGAAGCGATTCTCTGAAAGACTTTTGATACAAAAGCTTAATGTTACAGATGAAACTACCATTGAGGTTATAATCACTTCCCTCAATCTATCTCCTTTCCTGTGGCTAATTTGTTGTGTAAATTGTATGTTCTTGAGCTTTTATGTCTTTTTCTGAAACTGTGTCATCGGTTTATTTGGGAATCAGCAAGAATCTGTAAGAGAAAGATATGGTTCTCTAAACCTAATATAAATGCAACCGGTATTCTCTCAATTCCTGGTGTATTGCAGCCAGGTATGAGTAGTGTCTTTCATTTGTTGACTAATCAATCGCATCGATCTTAGGACATGTTAGAGAGACTTTAGTTTCAGTTTTTTTGTTTACTTTTGATCTCAGTACAGAAACAGCCTTGAACAAGGTTGAGAAGTCATCATTGATGCTTGCTTATGAGGTTAATGCGGTTGGTCCAGTTCTACTGATGAAGGTAAGAGACTCCAAAACAGAGTGAGAAATGGTGATAGCAAATCCAAGTAATGCATAGACATGAAGTCAATGGAATCGCAACGATTTGATGAAAGTCTTTATTTATCTTTGGATACAAAGAGTTATACAAAAGTTTTTGGCATTCCTCGCATAGATTTGATCGATGGTGCAGCTTTAAGGTTTGATCTATAGGTTCAATATACTTGTAAAGAGATTCATCGTTTCATGCAATAGTGTGAAACTCAATTTCACATCGTACATTATTGTCTTTTTTTAGTATTATTTTGAAGTATTAACAATTTAATATTTAAGTAGCAACTTAAGAGAGACGTTGGATCAAAAAGGAATCATCTAAACCGTTAGATTAAGGTATTGATTGGTTCATCTGCTGCTACTCGCAAACGCAGTGTTTGCATGTAGTAGCGGTTATTGGCGTTTGACAACAATCTTTTCAGTGCCGACGCGACGCTTTCTTGCTTGAGGGAGATCACAAGAAAAATAATGACGTTTCCCAATCTCCCACGAGTATTGGAATGGGAAATACTCTCTAGGGTTCCGGCCACATCTCTAACCAGATTCCGATATACATGCAGACGATGGTATGCTTTATTCAAAAACCCTAGATTCATCGAGAAGCATTCAGGTAAAGCAGCAAAGCATTTTATCTTAAAGAAAGACTTTGGTGTTTATTCGGTGAATATAGATCTCCATGGAATTAACAAGGACCAGAGATTTGATCCATCCATTCTAAAGGATTCAGAACAAACGATGATACATGCCATCTTTCATTGCGAGGGTTTGTTTTTGTGTACCACCAAAGACAAAAGAATCGTTGTTTGGAACCCTTGTACTGGTCAAACCAGGTGGATCCGGATCCAACCCAGGAGTGGTCACTTCGTTTACGACTCGTATTCTCTAGGTTACGGAAACAACAAGAACAACTATTCTTGCGATAGCTTCAAAATCTTGAGGTGTAGAAAGCATTACGATAACGTCCCGGTTATGGAGTTTGAGTTGTATGATTTTAACACTGATTCATGGAGACTTCTTGCTGAAGACGCTCAAAGCAGTTTAACAGTTTCCTGGCGCTGGATGATAACTAGTCGTGGCGTGTCTTTGAAGGGAAATACTTACTGGGTTGCTTGTGATCGACACGAACATCACGATAGTAAATTCTTGCTCAGGTTTGATTTCAAAGAAGAGAGATTTGAACGTTTTTCTCTTCCGGATGGTGGCTACGGAAGTACAGTGTTTCTCTCAGTCGTTAGAGAAGAGAAACTTGCTGTGTTATTTGAGAGGCGTAATATTGATTCGTCAAGACATCTGAAGATATGGGTGACCGATAATAAGATCGATGAGGCCAAAAGTATGACCTATATCCAATATTTCCTAGTAATGGATTTCAGTAACACTTTGGGCAAAGGTACGGCGGTGGTGAGTTTCTTGCTGGACGAGGAGAATAAAAAAGTCGTGTGTTGTGGTTTAGACACCAGAAATAGAAACAAGACCATCATGTACATTGTTGGAGGAGACCAGGAAAGTATACATTCGTGTGAACAAATTCTTGGAGAGATTGCACAAGGACCAACAGAGGACTGTTGGCCATTTCTCGAGAGTTATGTTCCAAGTTTGGTTCAAATTCAGCAAGTAGAGGCAGCAGATGCAGAAGGTGATTAAGTAGTCCCTTTGAATTACCCTAGTTTGCTTTTTGAACGAAATTAATTATTCTTTTTTTCTGTTTTTAATCTGTATATACATGTTTATTCTTCTTTTAGTTATGAAATCAGATTTTGGTGATCTTATCTAAATACATTGTTTATGGCTTCTTCTTTGTAATCACTTATGGGTCCTGGTGAACCTTTTTTTCCTTGAAGGTGTATGTATACGAAAACCAAAACGAAAATAAAAGATTAGAAATCTAAAAGATTGGTGAAAATATCATCACCGTGTTAAAAATCACTTTCAAAGATTATTTCAATAATCACCAGTGAAAAATGGTAGTCTATGATGGGATGTTAGTTGAGCAGACAAAGAAGAAGACAGCTGCTGATTTGGTGCTTTCAAGGATCAACTTTTTCGGTCTTGAGTCGAAACTAAGAGCAAAAGGTTGCAGACTACTCGATAATTAAAGTTTTTGAGGGAATGATGATAAATCATTCAGCTGTGCTTTTCCCAAACTGGTCCATATACTATTTTGTGCTTTGGTAATGGTTTGAGTTCAATGATTCTTGGGTATGGTTTCGCCAAACCCCAACAATGCAAGTTCCAGAGATCTTCTCATGGATGATGCATGAGCCCTTAATTGTCTCATTGTTTCTGGCTTTGATTAATGACATTCCTCGCACTAGTTTTATTGGTGTCTATAGGTTCTATATCCTTTGTAAGGAGATTCATGCAATGATGTGAAACTCAACTTTTCACATCATATTGTTTTTTTTTTTGTAGTTTGAAGCATTGACAATTTACTTTCTAACTTCTAAGTAACAATTTTTTTTTTAATCTTTTTGGTCACGTCTAAGTAAACTTAAGAGAGAGACTTTGGATTGAAAAAGGAGACATCTAAACCGTTAGATTAAGTTTTCCATTTAGAAGAGAGTCCTACATTATAATGATTGTTATGTCAAAAACTTAAAACCCTAATTATTTCTCTTTTCAGAGCTGACGCTTTCTTCCTTGAGGGAGAGATCACAAGGAAAAACCATGACGATTACCGATCTCCCACGAGAATTGGAATGTGAAATACTATCTAGGGTTCCTCCCACATCTCTACACAAATTTCGATCTACCTGCAGACGATGGTATGCTTTGTTCAAAAACCCTAGATTCATCGAGAAGAATTTAGGTAAAGCAAAAAGGCAGTTTATCTTAAAGAAAGATTTTAGTGTTTATTCAGTGAACCTCAATCTCCATGGAATCAACAACAAGAGATTTGATCCATCCATTGAGTTTACAGGTAAACTCAACAGCCTAAAAGATTCAGAACAGACGATGATACATGCTATCTTTCAGTGCGAGGGTTTGTTTTTGTGCACCACCAAAGACAAAAGAATCGTGGTTTGGAACCCTTGTACTGGTCAAACCAGGTGGATCCGGATCCAACCCAGGAATGATGATCACTTAGCTTACGATTCGTATGCTCTAGGGTACGGAAACAACAAGAACAAATATTCTTGCGATAGCTTCAAAATCTTGAGGTGTAGAACGCATAAAAACAACAACCTGGGAATCTGGGTTATGGAGTTTGAGTTGTATTATTTTAACACTGATTCATGGAGACTTCTTGATGAAGACGCTCAAAGAAATTTAACAGTTTCCTGGCGCTGGATGATAACTAGTCATGGCGTGTCTTTGAAGGGAAATACTTACTGGGTTGCTTGGGATAAAAAAGAACCTAACGATATTCAATTCTTGCTCAGGTTTGATTTCAAAAGAGAGAGATTTGAACATTTTTCTCTTCCGTTTAGTGGTTCCGGAACTATGTTTCTCTCGGTGGTTAGAGAAGAGAAACTTGCTGTGCTACTTGATAGGCCCAATTTTGATTCGTCGAGAGAGATGAAGATATGGGTGACCGACACTAAGATCGATGAGGCCGTCACAGATATGGAATATGTCTTAGTAGTGGATTTCAGTAGAGTTTTGAGAAGAGGTATGACCGTGGTGAGCTTCTTGGTCGACGAGGAGAATGAAAGAGTCGTGTGTAGTGGTAGAGACACCAAAAAGGGAAACAAGAACGTAATTTACATTGTTGGAGGAGACGGGAACCATAAACACTCGTGTAAACAAATTCTTGGAGAGATTGCACAAGGACCAGCTGATGACTGTTGGCCGTTTCTTGACAGTTATGTTCCAAGTTCGGTTCAAATTCAGCAAGTAGAGGCAGCAAATGCAAAAGGTGATTGATTTAAATATAATTCCCCTAGTTTGTTTTTCTGAACGAGATTAGTCAGGTTATGAATTATGGTTGTTTCTGTTTTTAATATATAGATACATGTTTAGTCTTGTTTTACTTGTGAAATCAGACTTTGGTGATCTTATCTAAATACGTTGTTTATGGCTTCTTCTTAGTAATCACTTATGAATCCTCGTGAACCGTTTTTCCCCTAAAATGTGTATATGTATACAAAAACCAAAACGAAGAGACGAAAACAAAAGAGTATTGGTGAAAATATTCTCTTTTAGGCAGAACCTAATATTCTTATCATTTTATCCCCATATTTTTGGAAGTGGCAGTTAAGTTCCCGTGTCAATGGCGTTGTAAAGTAGTTGCATTTATGATCCCATCCTTTTTTTTATCTTAATCACACACCCGTAAAAAGTATCCAATCGTTACTCCACTTTCAATGAACACTCTGGCGAAAAGCGGTGGCGCGTGGCTGGTTTCGCCGTCAAGGACGGCGGCTCTGAGGAGGACGAGAGTAGCTGGTTTCGCCACGTCATCGTCATCTTCCTCTTTGCCCAATTGGGAAGGTGGAGTTTCCTTGGTCCAAGGAGCTTCCAGAGGCCTCGGCCTCGAATTTGTGAGTCTCTTTCTTAATCAGATCTCTGTTCTTGATTTTTCCAAAAATAATGGGAATTTACCTGTCACTACAAATTTCTGAAAAAGACGACAAAAACCTCTGAAATTGCTTCGATGTTGATCCTTTTAGTGAATCTTTGTTCACGTTTAATTAGGTGAGACAGTTGCTGGAGAACTGTAAGAAAGGGTATGTTGTTGCTACTTGTCGGAATCCAAAAGAAGCAACAAGTCTCTCTGATTTAAAGAACCGATTCTCTGAAAGACTTTTGATACAAAAGCTTGATGTTACAGATGAAACTACCATTGAGGTTATAATCACTTCCCTCAATCCGTCTCCACCTTTCTTGTGCCTAATTTGTTGTGTAAAATGTGTTTTTCTGAAACTGTGTAACCGGTTTAATTAGGAATCAGCGGAATCTGTAAGAGATAGATATGGTTCTCTCAATCTACTTGTAAACGCAACCGGTATACTCTCAATTACTGGTGTATTGCAGCCAGGTATGTCTAGTGTCTTTCACTTCTTGACCATTTTGCGTCGAGTTTTAACGAAATGTTAGAGACATTAGTTTCTGTGTTTTTTTTCTTCTCTCCTTTTGATCTCAGTACAGAAACAACATTGAACAAGGTTGAGAAGTCATCATTGATGCTTTCTTATGAGGTTAATGCTGTTGGTCCTATTCTAGTGATGAAGGTAAGAGACTCCAAAACAGAGTGAGAGCAGATCTAAGTAATGTATGGACATGAAATCAAATGAATCACAAAGGTTTCTTCTTTGGCTGTGTTGTAGCATATGTGGCCACTCCTTAAGGCTGGTGGAGGTAATGGAACGGAGAGGGAAGTAGCTGTTGTAGCCAATATAAGCGCCAGAGTTGGATCCATTGGAGACAACAGACTTGGTGGTTGGCACTCTTACAGGGCTTCAAAAACCGCACTCAACCAATGTACTGCAGATTGTTACTTGATCTTTCTTGGTATGAGCTGAGGAAACCAAAATCATTAACTTCTGTTCCTTTTGCAGTGACGAAAAATGTTTCGGTTGAGTTGGGTAGGAGGAAGGATCCAGTGGTGTGCATTCTACTTCATCCAGGCACAGTAGACACTGATCTCTCTCGGCCGTTCCAGAGGAACGTTCCCGAAGGGAAGCTGTTCACAAAAGAGTACTCTGTTGAGAAACTATTGCACATCATCAACAATGCCAAGAGACAAGACAACGGCAAGTTCTTTGCTTGGGATGGCCAGGAGATACCTTGGTGATTGCTTCATTTCTTTTGTTTTCTCTTCATCTGAATGGTCACTTCTTTCAAATTGTATTGAATTCTTGTCGAGGTTTTTTACCGTGTGTTCGAGTGTTATCAAATAACCTGGAGTGAGTGTCCAGAAGTAGAAGTTGAGAGCTTTCTGAGTATTCAATAATCAATGTGACGGTCCATCTTTAATCTACACTGTGTTTACCTTAACAAGCTATTTGCGACTTTCCTTAGTCCAATCATTGCTCTATGTGATCCAGCTACGACCTGGACTCTTACGAACTCTGCTCTTGTTCATCAGTTCTTGAAGAGCTGCAGATTCATCCCACTGTCTGACAGAAGTATATGTGTTGCTTAGCAGCACATAAGCAGCTGGGTTCTGAGGATCCAAACTTGTGAGTTTCTCTGCAACTCGTCTAGCCAAGCTCACATTTCCATGGACTCTACATGAACTAAGTATAATCTCCCATAGAACAGAGCTGCTTTTGTATGGCGTAGCTTCTGCAAGAGCCTCTGCATCTTCAAGCCGACCAGCTCTTCCAAGACAATCAACTATACATATGTAATGATCCAGCTCCGGTTCAATCCCATGATCTCTCTGCATCGACCCGAGTATCTCAAGCCCGGTATCCACTAGTCCTGAGTGGCTACAAGCAGTCAAGACAGATACAAATGTTATCCGATCCGGCTTCTCTCCCGATGTAATCATCTCTCTGTAGAGACCAACAGCTTCATCGCCTCGTCCGTTATGAGCATACCCATGTATCATCTCGTTCCACAAAACCGTGTTTTTAAACAACACTGTATCAAAGACTTCCTTCGCTGAATCTATTGCACCGCACTTACAATACATATCGGTTAGAGCAGTTTCAACAAAGAGATCACTTACGTATCCACTCTTCACTACCTGACCATGAAACTGTCTTCCATGGAGTAAACTACATAAACTTGAACAGCTACCTAATACAGTGGCGTATGAAGTTTCATTAGGAAACAACACACTAGTCTGATGCATTCTTTTGAAGAACGATAAAGCTTTTGTGTCCATTGAGTTGCGACTAAAACCTGTGATCATCGAGTTCCAACAAGCGACATCCAAATAATTTATACAATCATCAAATATACATTCAGAGACCTCCATCTTCTCGCATTCAGAGTACACAGCAATAAGACCACTAACTATGTGACTGTTCTTAGAAATCCCGGTCCTTATCGCTACCCCGTGGATCTGTTTCCCTCCTTCCAGAAATCTCAATCTCGCGCACGAACTTAATATCACACTCAAAGTGGTTCTATCAGGTCTCAGGTTCTGAAACTGCATTCGTCTAAAAAGATTTATTGCTTCATCATAGTGTTCATACTTGGAATAACCAGAGAGCATAGCGTTCCACGTGCTAACACTCGGCTGCGGAATGCTACTGAACACTCTCCTACCGGTTTCAACATCTCCTGAACGAAAGCAAGCCCCTAGAACACTAATGCACGTAACTTCATTCGGCTCAAAACCATAATCTCTCATTCTCTTCAGATACTCAACCGATTTGTCACTTCGATACTCCTGGCCAAACCCAGCTATCATTATATTCCAAGAAACAACATTCACTTCAACCATCTCATCAAAAATCATCTCAGCACCATTCATGTCTCTACTCTTTGCATATACTTCAAGCAACGAATTGTTCAGATGAAGATCTCCTACAAACCCAAGTCTTAACGCGAGACTATGGATCTGTTTCCCGAGCACATTCGAACCATCACATTCTTCTCTTGGAGCAGAGATGCTGAGAATATTAGACAAGCAAACAGAATCCACCTTGACACCTTTCTCGCACATCAATCTGAACACATGAACTGCCTCAAAAACTTTACTTTCCCGAGCTAACCCGTTGATCACAGCTGTGAAAGAGACTTCATTAGGCTCAGAGAGCGATTCAAAGACCCTAACACCATGATCCACCATAAGCCCACACTTACCATACATAGACAACAACGCATTCCCAACAAATATGTTCTTCTCAAGACCGGTTTTCACAGCAACCCCGTGACATCTCATCCCAGTAACACCATCCAAAACCTTGCTACACGCACTCAAAACGCTAGCTAACGTGAACCGAGAAGGCAAAAACCCTTGAGAAACCATTCTCTCGTAAACAACCAAAGCTTTCTCCTCTAACCCTTTTCGCACCAATACGCTAATCATGTTGTTCCACGACACCACATCTCTCTCAGGCATTCCATCGAACACATCACTCGCTTCCTCCAAATTCCCAACTTTACAACTAAACGTCAAGAAAGCGTTCCACGAATAAACATCTCTCACAGGCATTTCGTAGAACACCTTCCGTGCATAATCTCCATCACCACACTCACAGTATAAATCCAGTAATCGATTGCAGAGATAAACATCGCTGTTGAATCCCGTCCGTACAACGAACCCATGAATGATTTTCCCGGAAAGTTTACACCTTTTTTCTCTGCAGAAACGCAAGAGATTCGCTAAGTATCGATTGCTTCTACTACGCATTTTTCTTCTCTAGAGCTCTGTTTCTGAGCTCTGCTCTCACGAGTTAGTTTAGTTAGTTAGGTACAAATAAAAAACATTTTATATTTAATTTAGATTCATTATGCACAATAAATAATAAGCAAAAAAATCCAAATGAGAACAATTTATAAAAATATATGTTTGAATCTGATCATTACATAAACAAATCTAAAGTGAAATTTGAATTTTACATCTGCGACTGAATGCAAAACATAAAGATTTGAAACACATTTATGAAAAAAAAAAGGAATAATAATATTTTGGAAAATTGTTGTGATGAAATGAAATCAAGAGGTAGGGATCGAAACGGTGCGCATCATGTTCTTGAATTCGAAAAAGTCAACGCGGCCATCTTGATTCCGGTCAACGGAGACGATCATCTTCTCCACTCTCTCCATCTCTCCTCCTTCGGGCAACCCGAGCTTCTTCAGAACCGCCTGCAATTCCCTGGCGGAGATGAACCCGTCGCCGTTCTCGTCGAACACCTTGAACGCCTCCGCGAGATCCGACTCGTCTTCCGCGGCGGATTCCGGCGAAGAGTCGTCGCAAGCTCCGCCGAAGAAGGAGTCGTCGAGCGTCTTGTGGAGGGAAGAGAAATCGTCGAAATTGAGGCCGGTGTTCCCAGGCTGGATGTACGACTCGACGGTGGTTTTGAGGTCGGTGAGATCTGCGTTGAGGCCGAGACGAGTGAGAGCTTGGCTCAGCTCCTCGACGGTGATGAATCCGTCGCCGTTTTTGTCGAACAAATCGAAGATCCGTTGGAGACGAAGAGCGTTTAGGCTTGGGCTTCGAAGCCTGAATGATGACGATTGTATACCTTTCTTCTTCTCGCCGTCGCTCTCCATTGTCTTCTTTTATTCTTCCTTTCACTTCTTCTTCTTCGTCGTTGTGGAATTATAAATCTGTGATAATAATGGGAATTTGAGTGAAAGGAGTCTAATTATAGAAGAGAAACATTTGGGAATTGAAACATTTATGTGAAGGAGTCCGTTTTTGCCGGCGTTGACTTTGTCTGGCCCGCCATGTACGAAATTCGAACATTAAAACCATAACGAGAACAAGGAATAATTCAAGAAATACAAATAAATTCACATTGGTGCGGAAAAAAAGGTTGGCTTTTGTGATTTGTCAAATAGATGTTGACATCAGAAAATATTTTTAAAAAATGAAATTTTGAATTTACTTGTTTTAGTCCACGAATGCTGCAAATTTACGAATATTTCAGGATTCTCAGAACTATTTGCAGGGGAAATCGTTTCATTTCGTTATCGTTATTCGTTATCATAGTTGTATTGGAGATTTCAGTTTCAAGATGTAATGCATAACGTGTGTGCCTTAATTTCTAGGTAATTACTTCTAGATGCTTATATTAAAACTGAAATTGCTTCAAGTTGATAATAGAGAACAAAAAATCATAACTGTCGTCGTCGGTGTTTCAATTGAAAAGCAGACAAGTCACGTCGTAGCAGTTACCGAATTTAATTGGAACGTTTCCATTTGCCAACTTGAGAAAATGGGTGGTGGTGTGGTTTAAGGTTTCAGAAGCTTCCAAGTTTTAGACCCGTTCACATGATCCGGTTCGGGTCGAGAAGAGAACCCACATAACTCGAAAGCCCATTTAACAATGTATAGTCACTTCTTTCTTCAAAGTTTCTCAGCACTTCGAAATAAATCATGGGAATTCAATTTCATAAAGAAAAAGAAACACAAAATACGTCTTTTAAATCCTTACAAAACCATCAAAGTATCATCAAACTCATGAAAATCAAAACAAAACAGTAAAGCTTAGAATTCTTCAATGACACCCTGAGACCTAAAACACTATCTTAGTGATGCCTTGAGCTAGACTCATACAAAGAAGTAACCATGTCATAAATCTGCGTCAAGCTTGGCTGCTTCAATGGTGGCTTATCAGTACACGTAAGTCCAAGTGTGATCGCTTGCTTGACTTTCTCCACCGTTCTGTCCTCAATCTTCATCTTCTCATCAATCACTCTCCCAAGATTATCCGGATAATGAACTCTTATATACTCAAGATACCTCCTCTCCGAATCTTCTTGTTCCTCATCATGCCTTAGATTTGTAATCATCTCCAAAAGAAACATTCCAAAGTTGAATATATCTGTAAATATAACAAGAAAAACACACTTATATTCTATAACCTTTAAACTTTTTTTCAAATATTTTCAAGAAAGAAAGAGCCTTACTTGTTGATGAATTGTTTCCATCTCCAATCCTGAATTGAGAAATCAACGGTTCTTGATCACCATCAGACAACAAAACACTGCTTGTGCTGAGATCAAATGTAATCTCAGGCCATTCCTCCGAAAGATAGAAAATACCTTCAACAACTCCCATAACCACTCTTAATCTTCTTCTCCACGAAGAAGCCGATGAAGAATTTAGCCAATTCTCAACATTTTCTCCATTAGTCCACTCCGTAACCAAAGCTCTCATGTTTCTGCTATTACACCAACCCAAAACTCTCACCAGATTCTTGTGTCTCAGCTTAAAAACCGCCTCGCATTCCTCAGCGAACGCAGTCCTCTTCTCTTTTGAAACCTTCTCCGTGTAAACCTCGATCTTTGCCTCTGTCCCGTCCTTTAACGTGCCTCTGAAGATATCGACTCCATTGCTCTTGCTCACAAGCTTCTGATCTGAAAACTCGTCGGTGGCTGCCTCGAGAATCGCGGATGTGAACTTGTGGCTTCTCCGACAAGTTCTTGGCAAGTAATCAGGTCTTTTGAGACACAACCATCCCAAGCAAAAACAGAGCAAAATCACCATTATCGGAAACAGAATCAACAAGACCAAAACTTTCATCTTGTAACGCTTGGCATTGGGAAGAACACCGGACTGTATGAAACTCGAGGCGTTAAACCGTTTGAAGAAGTCGGAATCCGAGATATGTTCCTCCGAGAACCGGTTGTAGGAGAGATTCAAACGGGTCAAATTGGGCAAACCGGAGAGGTTTTGAACCGGAACGAAACCAGAGAACTGGTTGAAACTCAGATCAAGAGTGCGAACCTGAGCACAAGACAGAACATTCATCGGAAAGCCAGTGTTGAGAGAGTTGTTGACAATCTCGATCTCGACGACGGTTAAAGGACAGTACTTCCAGAAGAAGTCGAAAGAGAGATAGAGCGCGGCGGTTTTGGGGCGGCTGTGGATTCTGATTACGGGGAAAGATTCGACGCAGTTAGGGTTTTTGGACTCGTTGCAGA